AAAAACTGCGATCGCGAGACGCCGATCGCATACACGTAAAATTCATGACGGTAAAATCAACCATGACCCTTTTCTCTGGTGCGCGGCAAAAACCAAGCTCGCCAAAATGCTTCACCAGTCTGGCAGTCTTTGAGTGTCCGAAAATGACAATAAAATAGCGGTATGCAAGCGTGTGTGAAAGCAGCAAAAATCCTGCAGCTCCGCCCCTGTGACGCGACCGGTGAGCGGAGCAAAACCACACAAGAGTTACGCCCCTAACAGGCGGCTGCGTTGTCGCTTGCGGCGGGGGCTGAAATTCGACACAACCGATCACATGAATCCTCCCGCCCCAGGACACACAAGCCACGCGTTTGCTACTGGCCAATAGTGATTTGGATTGGCTGACGCCCTCCGCTCGAGGCGTCAAACAGTAGAAACAGTTGCCTCTACTTTTGCAGCGAGCACCCGCGAGACGAAGCTACGCTTTGCCCACAATGCCAGTTCTCGGCGAAACGTGACGTCACCCTCATTTAAAATGCTGAGCCAGAAGCGTTGAAGCGGCAACGCACGCGCCGTATGTAGGGGCAGTAGACCCTAACACACTTGAGCTATTTTATCTACCTCTGGAACAAGCTAAACTAGTTATACATATATTTATTCTTCACTGCCGGGTCACTCGTTACTGGATCAGTGAGCTGCATGAGATACTGACAGGCTGTCAGGAGAGAGAGAGAGGGGGAGAGAGGAAAAGAGAGCGCTTCCGCTCATTTCTCCGTGTTATTGTCCAAAGTTAATGTAAAGTTGAATAATGTACTTCATTTGAATGTAATAATTATGTTGGTTGTTGTTTGTGGAAGCGCCAGTGAATGAGCCCCATTAACTGAGTTTTAAACATCACTTTAAATGGAAGATCCCCATAGGCCCCTCCCACTCGATCGGATCAGCGATCGGTATTGGCCGATACTGATTCCGGCGATCGGCCCCAAGATTGGCTATCGGAGCATCCCTATTATTTATATTTCTGGGGAGTTTAAGAGACAGTGTTTGGCTGCACATAGAGATGCATTTCCAGATTACAATCAAGAACCCTTAAAGCTCACCCTCTGTTTTTTAGAAGCGGTAAAATAAAACAAATTGCGATCACATGCTAATGCTGTGGTATTCTTCATCTTAACCACTACACCACCAAAGATGCAATGCATTTCAGGTGGCATTACTGCAGTTTGTCATAACCACGGTAGCCATGTAGAAGGTCCTATCTGTGTTTCGTTTGCATCATAGTAGACTCTGTGGACTTTGATCCGTCATATTATAATGGATTTTAAGGTATTGTAGAACTACCAGGGGTAGACATTAAGGGTCAAATTCCACTGGCCCTCCAGGCATAGAGTCCAGCGATTTATAAACACTTTTCAGGATGTTTTCTTTTTTTCTTTTAGCTGATCCAAAAAAAGACTGAATTTGTTTCAAACTGTGAGTTTTATGATCCATTGTAGCTCTAACACACACACACACACACACACACACACACACACACACACACACACACACACACACACACACACACACACACACACACACACACACACACACATCTGGATACAGTGACCCTAATCCCTTCACGTTATCAGTGAGCATCAGTGTGTGAAGTCATGTGGACTGGTATGAGTCGGGGGGCTGAGATCCGCTGATGAGAACATCTCCACTAGACGCATATCATCCTTTCACACCCGACCCACCACTGCCTCGCAACCCGCATTAGATCAGAAGCTGTTTAGTGGAGAGAGAAGGTTGACTATATATAGCATTTCATGTAGACAAAGCACTGTTTTGTCAAGATAGAAGATACCAGTCGGAAGTAATATCTAGTCTCACTTTTCAGCCTTTACAGTTGTGACTGCTGCCAAACTACTACTAGAGGTTTCATAGAAAATCTGTTCTCTGGATATATAGAGAACAGATTTTGTTAATCCAAAGTGTTTCTTCCAGCTTTTTACTATTGAATGTTATTTCAGTATGTGTTGGCACAAACCAGGAATTGAGCCTGATACCCACTGATATTGATACTAATTAAGCTGCATCATTAATACAGTCTATAATAAAGGAATTATTTCATGCTCAACAATGGTTATCAATTACAAAGTCACTGTTTTTCTCATGTCTGTCTTTATTTGTTTGACTTTCTGTAACATGACTTCTGATTGGGCGCGCTTAAACCTCAAAAGTATTGATTGGGGACGACAAATTCAAAACATAATCAAAGGAGTATCTCAAAGACAAAAGTAAAGTGAACAGGAGCATTATGTTTTCAAGATGAAAGGGGGTCGACGTGTCGTGGAGTGATTTAATTGGGGGCTGTTTTGCTCCTTAGTTTCAATGAGTAACTGTATGATTATCTTGAGTTGGAACTTTAAACCACTGTCTGTTTTTTCTAAATGTCCATATTAATGTTTTTCTTTGTCCCTTTTAGTATTTGCTTGACCTAAATCCACTGAAATATATGACACAGTGTGTTTGACATATGGAATCTATCTAATGTGGATTTCACAGTCTCTGTAGACATACTTTATTATTTCTTTACACTGTATTTGGACTGTGGCAGGCAGCACTGAAATGCCTTCCAGATCCCAAAGTCATTCTGATCTTTCTCATGAAAGTCATTGAGGTGTAGGTCAGACTTTGTTGGCTGAATACTTGTCTTTTTTCATGTTACCATTAGACCTCCTCCTCACTGTTATCCTGACTGGCTCTCAATAGATTCATTCAACTTCTGCAATTTACAATGCAGCTTTTTCTCTTTTCTTGTTGTGCGGGTATACAACAGTTTATATACACATAGCTAATTGTATAGTCTTAGCACACATGCAAAACATATAATTAAAATGGATTTTGAACGAAGTGATTGAATATATCCCACAGTCAGTTTTTGGCAACATTGTACATATAGAAGCATCTTGTTAGCCTTTTCTGGAATGTTTTACCTTCACACGACACAGTGACTAAATATTGGACGGTGTCAGTGTGTTACTTTGGAAACTCAGAATGTTGAGAGAAATGTTTTCCAACAGCTTTCTTTTTGAGCTTTTAGCTGTGTTAATAAAAGACATACATGCCGTGCAGTAAAAGATAGAAGTTGTTTGTATCTGTTTAGTCACAACATCTACACTATTCGGGTTTCCGTAATCCTGCTTACAAACAGACAAACAAACCGCCTAACTGTACTGGAAACCTATCCCCGCGGCAGAGGTTACTAGAATGCAGTAAGCGACCATTATTAAGCTTATCCTAATGTACAGATCGTTCTTTTTGGCATCTTAAATTCATCTGTTCTTTTCTTTAAAGTTGCTTATTGCCTCATAAAACTAAATACATGACTCTTCACTTGCTGTCTTCCAGTTTGTGCTTAATTGAACCCAGGTGGTCAAAGGATAGCCTGCTTCCAACACATTACTGTGCTCTCAATAATATAGAAAAGGCTTCCTGTGTTTAAGCCTGGCAAGACAGCAGTCATGTAGGTCAACAGGTATAAGCCTGCATTTACCATTTGCAGCTAAAGGCAAGTGGGGTGGAAGAGAAGGCAGTGGGATGTAAGCATCATACAGAGAGAAAGGATATTGCAGGGGGAAGTGATAAAGAGGGAAGAAAGGCCAACGATTGGTCCACGCAGACTGTAGTGGTGGTCTGATAAATGTTTTATAAGTATCACTCCTGGGTTTGTAGGTTAGACTTATCTTTCCTCTCACATGTGTGGGATAATGGTGGAGATGTGAGTCACACTGGGCTGTGTTGTCGAGATAACTGCCTGCATTGTGTGTCTGTTATTTTTCCAATACAATTAACGAGCAATGCAATTAACAAGCATTACGTTTAATTTAGAGAGAATGAAAGCATTTAATTTATGAAATCTGTGGCTGCAATCTTGCCTGATTTGTTTACGTTGCCATGGTTGCAGTTGTGCAGTGGTGTAAGCAGATAAAGATGTGTGTACAAATGTCTTCCTGCAGAAACACTTTTGAAAGGTGTTAGCAAAAGGTTGCAAATGACTTTTATATTAACATACCATTTCAAGCGGTATAATTATTGCTATGGAGCAGAGATATCATTTTGATACTCTTGCAAAATCAAGATCAAGATGTCCCTTGTTTGCACATGTTCTTTATCCTGTCCACAAGTACATGCTCACATTAACTTTTGCTCTTTAAAACGAGGTCATAATAGTGCCTCTCCGCTGCAAGTGTGTGGCTTTCAAAGGATTAATTGTCATACTAGAAGGGGCTGGAAGCCGCGGTGTAAACTTGATAGACCTCTAGTGTAATTCTGAAATTCAGAGGCCGCATCATCTGTCCAAGCTGACATTTTTCTTGGTGTCCTTGGCTGAAAAGTGAGGGATTGATACGCTGTCAGAGCCGTGTTATCCAGCTCATAAACAGCAGGCTTTGCCACAGCTTTTAAGAGGCATGACCCCCAATATAGCAGTACCACAAATAGAACCTGTCCCACTTTTTCACAGGTCTTAGTTCGACAAAAAAGCGGTCAAATGGCTGATGAATGAAGAGATGTCAAAATTTAATTTGACTATTTAACCCACTCCTAGAGTATTCATTTTTATAGTCAAGCAACCACACCTTTGCAAAACAGGCCTGTCGAGCTTTGAATTCCTCCTGAATTCACCGGCCGAGTATGGAGGGTAGTGTCTATGTAATCAATGGTTTGTTTTGCAGCTCTAATGTAAACTGCAAATTACAATTATGATCTATATGGTTCATGGGGAGGATGCTGACTTTTTGTCTAGAGAATGTAGCTAGCGTCAGTATTTCAGCATGTCATCATGTATGTAGCCATCATGTGCACATGTAAGATCCCTTTACAGTAAACGTTATCTCATTAAGTTCTTCAGGTCTAGAATGTGGAGAGTTATTAAATACATGTAGCTGGCGTTAGCTTAAATAGCTAGCGTGCTTTAGCTGATACGATATCTAGCCGATCAAATATTTATATATTCCTCAGCTCTTATATACACACACATACACATACAGTGGGGCAAAAAAGTATTTAGTCAGCCACCAATTGTGCAAGTTCTCCCACTTAAAAAGATGAGAGAGGCCTGTAATTTTCATCCTAGGTACACTTCAACTATGAGAGACAGAATGGGGGGAAAGAATCCAGGAAATCACATTGTAGGATTTTTAATGAATTAATTGTTAAATTCCTCTGTAAAATAAGTATTTGGTCACCTACAAACAAACAAGATTTCTGGCTCTCACAGACGTGTAACTTCTTCTTTAAGAGCCTCCTCTGTCCTCCACTCGTTAACTGTATTAATGTCACCTGTTTTAACTCGTTATCAGTATAAAAGACACCTGTCCACAACCTCAAACAGTCACACTCCAAACTCCACTATGGCTAAGACCAAAGAGCTGTCAAAGGACACCAGAAACAAAATTGTATACCTGCACCAGGCTGGGAAGACTGAATCTGCAATAGGTAAGCAGCTTGGTGTGAAGAAATCAACTGTGGGAGCAATTATTAGAAAATGGAAGACATACAAGACCACTGATAATCTCCCTCGATCTGGGGCTCCACGCAAGATCTCACCCTGAGATCTTGCGTGGAGCCCCAGATCGAGGGAGATTATCAGTGGTCTTGTATGTCTTCCATTTTCTAATAATTGCTCCCACAGTTGATTTCTTCACANGTGTGTGTGTGTGTGTGTGTGTGTGTGTCAACCATGCTCCGGGGTCTTCTTCGCTGCTTTTGGTGTATTTCGGGCGGCAGCAGCGCCACTTGCAGGCCTGACATATGTACTACATCGTTTCCAGCTTTTCCAGCGGTCTAGTGTGAACGGACACGTTAATGAATCGAATGCGTGTGAACGGAAGCCTTTTTTGCGCTTGCGTATGCGTTTTACCGTATGCGTCCTCGTGGGGCCCGGGTCTAAGCCAAACTATATCCGGTCACAGTGATCTGCTATTTTAAAGTAAAGTCAACACATATCGACCCTAAATATAGTCTATATTAAGAACGAGAAAAGTCTTAACATATATATCCTTTTTTGTAAACATATAACAAATGTGTGAGGTTGATGACGTCAGAGTATCGTCCTATGTGCCAGGGCTTAGCCCCGGACAGCCCCAGCCCAATTGAACCCCTCGGTATTTGTGAGGGAGCTCCTATACGGCATTACCCCGCTGAAGCTCACCAAAGTTTAACATATTTCATAGTTCAAAGTTTTGTCAATTGTTTTGTTTATTGGTCAAATACTGGTTTCTAATGGTTTCTGAGGAGTTTTACTGGAATGAAAGAGCACAGAGTGTACAGAAGCAAAAAAGCAGCATACTGCATTAAACCTGACCTTCACAGAGAGGTTGAAGTTCATGTGGAAAGGAGGTTTCAGTAGTCTGTCTGCACTCTGTTTAGTTTTGCTATCTTACAATCAATATAGTAAATGTGAGGTAAAGTGTGTTGCCAATGTAACCGGTTAGAACTCCAAGTGGCGATGAGGTCTTAAAATGTATGGAAAGGGTCTTAAAAAAGGTCTTAAAAGGTATTAAATTTGACTTCAGGATTCCTGCATATACCCTGTACTAAGAGAGAACAATTCAATATTTAAATGATCAAATTAAATTTTTTGGGTATCCTTTGAACTGTCTGTTTAAAATTAATCGAAGCATCAGACAAAAAAAGCTTTTGAAAATAATATTATATTTTGATTTAGGTCAAAATATTATATTTGTAAACGTGAAGAGTCAGTGCCTCACCAGCCATGAACCTCACTGCAGAAGCTTATATATAGACATCTAAGTTTTCTGTGCCCCACCACTTTTGTACATATAGAAACGCCACTGAGCAGGAGTAACAGTGACTCAGATGCTACACTGGAACACAGAGCTCCTGTTCTTTGCATCCTGTGTCATCGCTCTCTTGATATCTTACACACAAGATAATAATAAGACTTACAATGACATTTCTATTTTGTTTTAAGTTATCAGTTCAATTAGTACAGCTAGTAAGCTGAGGTGTGTCGTTTCATAGAACTCCTGGTCACCTTTAAAATCACCCCAGTACGATGAGGACAGAAGCCTCCAATAAACACAGACCAGTGACATTATCAAGTGGCTCCATATATTTTAGCATGCATGTGTTAACTCCAACTACACTTAACAAAATGTGTTTGTGTCTCTAGCTGAGCGAGGGCATGCCGCTGCGCTCTGGGGAGAGGCTGAAGTACAGAACCAATGGTGAGCCTCCAACTGCCAGCCTTACTTCACTTAAGTCTCAGTTAAACAAAAGGATTGAGTGTTCACTACCACTCACTCCCTTTGGTTGTTGTTTTATTTGAATTTCAAGTTTTTTTTCTTTTTCTTGCCCAACCGTATCTGTGTGTCCGTGCAGGTTTCTTTGCCATGGTGGTGAGTTGTGTGGCAGTAGCAGCAGCGGTGCAGCAAGGTGCTGACCTCACATACATCCACAGCCACTTCCTGCAGCTGGCTGTGGCCTCCTTCCTGATCTCCGTCCTGCTCAGCAGCTACCTTTACGTCCGCTCTGGGCGTGCTGCTGCAGAGCAGCTGGCACTGGGCGGCAGCTCTGGTGAGTTCCCTTATGCAGCTGTTATTCACTCTTTCCTTTTGTGCTCAGCTGTCTCATTTATTTTCTTTATTTCATCAGGAAATGTGGCTTATGACTTTTTCAAAGGACGTGAGCTCAATCCACGAATCAAATACTTTGATCTAAAATTCTTCTGCGAGATGCGCCCTGGTCTGATTGGCTGGGTGAGTTCACGGAAAACCAAAAAAAACCATTTGTCTTAAAATACACCCAACGAGCACTCAAAGTAGGAAGATTATTTGTTGTTATTGGATTTGCATTGCCAGATGCATGGGCTGTTCTGATGTAGCATCATTGGTCTTTAAAGCCTTGAATGAGTTGGCAGGTGTTACAGCTTTCTGAATGCTCCAAAAAAAACCTATTGTTTTGGATTTGTGTGTCATTGTTTAGTGTCTGATCAACTTTGCGCTGGCGCTGGCGGAGATGAAACGGCAGGGTCTGGAGGCTCCCTCTCACGCCATGATCCTGGTAAACCTCTTCCAGCTGCTCTACGTGGCCGATGGCCTCTGGAACGAGGTATGACACACAGCACACAAACATGTTCACTCCAACATGAACAAAGAAAGAAAACAATTACATAGATTATCATGTTAACAACTTCTAAACTCTGTGTGTGTGTCCAGGAGGCCATCCTGACCACCATGGACCTAATGCACGATGGTTTTGGCTTCATGTTGGCGTTTGGAGATCTGGTGTGGGTGCCCTTCACTTACACCCTGCAGGCTTACTACCTGGTGAGCCGGCCCACCCCGCTGAATCCCCCTGCCCTCGCTGCCATTGTCACACTTAAACGTAAGTGTCAAATTGAATTCACTCAACATTTTGCCTAGCTTAGATAGAGAAAACTGTTAAGTCCTAGAGAGATGATCTTAACATCTCAGTGTTCATTTCCTTTCCGGTTTCGAAACTGAAATTAAAATGTTCTGTGTCTCTCATTTAGTTATTGGATTCTACATCTTTAGAAAGTCCAACTCTGTGAAGAACGCCTTCAGGAGAAACCCATCAGACCCCCAACTTTCCCGTAAGTTCTGCTGTTTCCCTGCAGCTGATGTCAAAACACTCACTGCTTTGTCCATATCTGATTAACCTCTGTGTGTCTGCCTCCCTGCAGACCTGAAGACCATCCCCACAGCTACAGGGAGGAGTCTGCTGGTGTCTGGGTGGTGGGGGGTGGTGCGCCACCCTAACTACCTGGGGGACCTGCTGATGGCTCTGGCCTGGTCCCTGCCCTGTGGTGAGTGGGTTTTTTGTTGACCCTCTGACACTAATGGCGCATTTCCACTGCAGCACGTCGTAGCACGGTTTAAGCTTTTTTTTGCTTTTCCACTAGGAGTAGTTCCGGCTCAGGGCAACTTTTTCACCTTTTTTCTGGCCCTCCAAAATCGAGGTTCTTACCGGGCCAACAACCGGGCTGAATATGCTAAACTAGTGACGTAAACACTCTCGACTGCTGAATGGTCAGAGAGAATCGCTGGCAAGGGGGCTACAACTACAACAAAATGAACATATTTGACCGTGATTTAATTGTAATACATGTTTCAAAAATGATGCTGAAGTAACAACATATTGATACCGGTTAGTAAAAACCATGAATTAATGCTTTGACAAGTCTGCAGACAGACGGCAGGAGAAAAACCTTTTAAAATGCGTGTTTTCTGAGGCTAAGCTAACGTTGTATGCTCCGACCATCCACACTCACAACAAGGGCCTCAGGGGTCTTCTTCAGTGCTTTTGGTGTATTTTGTGGCAGAAGTACAGCGCCACTTACAGGCCCGGCATATGTACTACAGCGTCTCCAGCGCTTTCGAGTGGTCTCGTGCGGAAGTAGAGCGCCACTTACAGGCCCGACATATGTACTACAGCGTCTCCAGCGCTCCCGAGCGGTCTCGTGTGAACAGAAGACATTTTTGATATCGTATTTGGTTATTTTTGCGTTTCGTATGCGTTTGCGGGTAAATGGGGTCTAAGCTCCATGGTAGTTTTTTGCTTTTTAATTTTTGCATATGAGATTTGATTTGTAATGTCCTATTAGTGGGATATATTTCTTAACATTGGCCACACTTTCTCTTATAGCCACACATTCCATGTTGTTGGCTGATAGAACTAGTTGATTTGTAGGTAAACACCTTCCCTTCTTCAGGTTTTCTGCATATGAAATGTAATATTGGGACTCATTTTTATCTCTAAGTGGGTCAGGAAGTTGAAAATATTACTGTAATCAGGTGTTGACCTGAGAGGCCTTGTGAATTATGGTTTGCTACATCTTAGTGAAATCAGTGACAAAAAAACACACACACACAGGCCCCAGCTGAAGCAATAGAAGCAAAGATACATGCAATAAAACACATACACTGACAATGGTGCAACAGTTGGGGGGGTGAGCAAAGGTCTTAGGCAAAGTTGGACTGAAGCTGCTACCTTGTGATGTTGCGTTCAAGTGCAGGCTGTGTGTGAGCGTGCATGAGCTTGTGTATTGTAAAGCTGAATGAGTGTGATCAGAGGTCTTATGTTAAGGACAGGCCTGCTAACTAGGCCAACAGCTGCTTCCTTGGCTATTCATCTCAAGTCCGCTTTGAAGCCCTTTTTTCCTTTTATTTCACCACAGGAGCATTTTGTATATGAATGGACACTGAGATGTGTAAACACACAATTGTCCAGGTGTCTGCTCCAAGTCTGTTATGAGTTATGTATTCAAATAGATGCAGCATATTCACTGTGCTTTGAAATCGGTGGTGTGTGTGTGTGTGTGTGTGTGTGTGTGTGTGTGTGTGTGTGTGTGTGTGTGTGTGTGTGTGTGCTTCCCTTTGATGGTGAACAGAAGGCCAGTTCTGTCGTTCAAAGGGATCCTCTATTTCTCTTATATGTATTCCGTCTTTCCTTAACATAACAAATTGCAAGAAATATGTTGGAAACTAACACACACACACACACACACACACACACACACACACACACACACACACACACACACACACACACACACACAACAACACACACACACCACACTACACAACACGACACACACACACTACAACAACAACACACACACACACACACACACACACACACACACACACACACACACACAC